GTGGGATTACCAGAGCATGGGCTGCATCAGAGTGAGCAGGATGACAGCACACATCTTGCTCCACAGGCTGGTTGTGGAATACAAAATCTCCAGGAAGAAAAGAAAGGCCCTGGCTGTGCTGGATGTGAGATGTTTTAATTTGCACAAATGCAAGTGACAGACACTTTGGAAGTTTCCACTTTGTATTCTGCTTTCATCTTAATTAGTATTAACTTATTCTTCCAACAAGGGAAAACCCACAGGACACTGATCAAGAGAAGAAAACTGCAATAGTTCTGGTAGTCCCCTTCACTCAGCTAATACTGTACTAGGAGGGATATGTTTGTAGTGGTGCATCATCTCTAATGACCAGGTTTCACAGCAAGAAGTTAAATTCATTGTAGTGACAATTAAGAAAAGCTACAGCAGGATCACACACAAGGTGAATTGAACCCCTGGATGCCTTAAATCTGTTCCCCACAAATTGTGAGCATCACATGGATGCTGGTTCTTCATCAGCCTGAGCCCACCTAACTGCAGAATCGTCAGGCTTGGGTGTACTCTGGCCAGCTCCAAAGACAGAATTTGGACATTCCCCCTTGGCCTGCTAAAATTGAAGGAGAATATCTTTCTGCCAGTCAGGCATGCTGAAATGCCAGGGCACTGGAGCTGGTGAGTGTTGGAGCTGTTTGGGGAAGGAGGCAGGGTCCCATGGCCAGGATGCAGGGAAGAGCATGACCAGTGGCAGCTAGCTGATACACAGGTGAGGTGCTTGTCAAATTACAGCCTAAACAGTGAAAAACAACAGTTTTCTTTCTGTGAAAGGAAGGTGTTGATGCAAACTAACAGAGCTGTGGCAACTTCTCAGGTGGCTGCCCATGACCCAAACATCTGCTGCAACAGAGTGATAGAAGAAAAAAGTGACAAGATCTGACTAGCATCTAAATCACTTTGGTGTTAACTGGCCAAACTTCTTGCAAGTCATGCTCACTTTTTTCAGAAAAACATGTAGTGAAAGACAAGCAACTCTTCTGCAAGCTGCAAAATACAGTCCCTGCAAGTGCAGCTGAAGCAGCCAGTGCCAGGGAGCATTATACCCCCTGCCAAAGAGCCCCTCTTTGAATTTATTGTATGTTAAAACAAGTTGCTCTCTGCAAGCTCCGTTTCAGAGTCTAGAGGTAGGGGCAGGATTGGTTGGCATTCTGTGACAGTGCCAGTGGTACAGTGCAGGAATCCTGGCACTGTTGTTGTGCCTCAGACCAGCCCTGCTGAGCATGGGAGGACTGGATTTCAAAAATGATGGGCACCCACAGCTAGTGCCAGTTGCAGGTCAAGATGCCCTGCAGCTCCTGGCACTGGGTCCTGAGGGCACCTCCTACTTCCCCCCAAAAGTGTATCTGGTCAGCCTCTCCCTTTCCAATTAAACAGAATATTCTGTTTACAGTGATGTTCACTACAGCTGTAGCTGTTTTTCACTGCATTTTGGACCTTTCTGCTGCACAGAAACACAGCAGTCACCCCCTAAATGAATCTGACCCCACAAAAGTCTTCCTGGGTAGATACCTTGTTGTCAGCTTTCCCAAGCAGAAATGCAGAGCTCTGAAACTGAGTGCCCTGCCAAGGCATGAGCATGTCTGTGGCACAGAGCAAGGGGAAGCAGCCATGCACCAGGAGGGCAAGGACTCTGCTGTGTCACCAGGGCTTCATGGGCTCCTGCAGCCCCTGCTCCTGTGCCCCCAGGGTCAGCCCCACGCTGGCTCTGCCTGCAGACTCCAATGAGCCCACTGAGATGCACCAGAATGGGATTTGCCTTTGCTTTGTTCCACCAAATGGATGGAACATTGACTGAAAAAATGCACAGAGAGGATTGGCCTGTCAGCCAAGTAGAAAAGGAACAGGAAAAAAGAGGAGGAGAATTTAGAGTAACAGAAAGGATCAAAATGAAAGCAAGCAGGGAAGATAGGGTGGGAATATACCTTTGAATCTTTGACCCATGCCCCTCAATATTTCACCAACTCTATCATGTAAATCTCAATCTCAGACTTTTCTGACTGCTTCTGAACCCTTCTACTCTCATTGGAAAGCTATTTTGGCATCTCATCCTCTCATGGCTAAAATCCTTTTAATTTCTAGCCTAATTTTATTCATAAATATATGTTCACATCTTCTTGTGGAATTTAAGCTGTAGTCCTAACTACAGCTTAAGTAGTTGTCCCTGGATGTAAACTTCACAGTTCTGATTTTATGCTTAGTTTAAGCTGTCTTGATGTCTGACCTGCTGCCAAACACCTGATAACAAATATGTGTACAGACAGGACATTCCCTGGTCAGAATGGTGTCCCTCTGCCTAGCAGCTGAATCACACAAACCCTCTCACAGCTCTGATTCAGGACCCTGATCCCAGGAGCTGGAAGATCGGGCTGTCTTCTGCCAAAGCTTCCTCTGGATCACATCCATCATACCTTAACAACACAATCACCTCCTTCCTTCCCACTCACAACCTCCCTGGTGCAGAGCAGGGTGTGCAAATGTTGTGCAGGGCTGTTTTACAAGGCCTAAACTCTCTGGTATATGCTGTGACACCTGGGCTGGAGAGATATATACAGCAAATGTACTGCCCAGGCACACAGCAGCTGGGCTCCATGTGTGTGATGAGTCTCACACCAGGAACACCCCAGCCACATGTTCACATGCAGCAAAGCTGCTGAGTCAGTCTGCAAACCCCAGGGAATCTTCTGGGGTTTCTGGACATTTCACTCTGGATGGAAAAGGAGGGGGAATATCAGAAGTCTTCCTCTTAGACTACCTTTGCTTGGTTACAGAAATAAGAATTTCATAAGTAAAAAACAGGAAACAAGTAGGAAATAAATAATACTGTTTTAGAAAACCCTAAAAATATGAAAATTACCTAATCTTTAGATTCAAGCCATATTAGGGGACCAGAAGGATACATCAGTGCTCTGCTGCCTGGATTATCTGATGGAGTTACACTCAGAAGCACTGCTGCCAACTGCCCACATAAACCTGGTTTATCGCATCCCAGAAAAGCAGATTATGCTTTTGTGGTGCCCTTATCCACATGTTCAATCAACAGGACTGCATTACCTTCCTCAGTGACCTTCCTTTTGCTCTTCCAAATTAAACAGCCGTGCATCAGTCTCCAGCTCTAGCCGAGGTACTGGCTGCAGTGCCAGCGCTGTGACCTGGGGAGGAGCTGCATGGTGACACCAAGGTCACTTATCTCAGGAGAGAGAGGACAAGCCCACCAAGGTCACTTATCTCAGGAGAGAGAGGACAAGCCCAGCAGAAGGGACCTTCTCCTTGAACCTGCCATGTGCCACCAGGAAGGCTCAGCCACTCAGAGAGCTTTGTGCTGCTACAAGTGGCAGCAGGCACCAGAGAGAAAGGGAAAACAAAGAGCAGACTTTCCCCAGTGCTGCTCTAATTAAGCAGTTAATTAGGTGTGAGCTGAGATGGATGGGTTGCCGCAGTCTGTGGGTTTGAAGTCCTAGTCAGAACTAGGGCAAGGGAGCAAATTTTGGCTCAGTTGGAATGAAGCAGAAACTTATGATTTAATTTGGCAAGATTCTGTCCAGTGCTGAAGGACTTTAGCAGTTTCACAGGTGATATGAACCTGTGTTATAGCAACCCATCTCCTTTTCTCATTCGGCATTTCAAACGCTGTGAAGTCTGAGGGACTCCTGTCTTCTGTGTTTTAATTTACCTGTCTTTGGCAGCCTGTGGTTTCCCCAAGACAGACTTTAGTTCCTAGACAGCCTCAGTCAGAGATCCTTCCTGCTTACCTGAGTCCTGAAGAAATGCCAAGTCGAGAATGTTCTCTATTTTATGATGTTTTAACATGCATTAAATGAAGAGGTATCTATTTTAACAAAGCCAAAAATATTTAATGTTTAAGTTTGCAATTATTGATAACTATCTTAAGACAGAAGTCTCTAGATATTTTAAAACTCTAACCATATTTTCCCAGCTGTGTTATCCATAGAGAATATGATACAGCTATGTAAAGCTGCTATGACTGCTAAGTGTATTCAATTATCTCTGCTAGTTTTGTCCCCCCCTCCCACACTCTCCATTCATTTCAGTGTTCACTAAATATTTTAAGCTTGTTAAGTGAGTTCATGCATGCATTACAAAAAAGCACTTTGGGAAAAATTTATGGCTATTTTATCCATCTCAATATATGGGCATGAACGTACCACTAATCTGCACAGAGCTGTGAGACTCTGTCCCTTTTCCTCTTACCCTCCCCCTTCGGGAGAGAAAAAACCCAAACTTTGGAAAAGGGGTCATGCAAAGGCAGGGATTTCTATAGGGAGCCCATGGAACAATGCGTGCATTGCCAGGCGTAGTGGGCTCCCATTGTCTGCTCTTTGAGCACATAATAGAGGCTTTGCCAGTGGGGAGGCTAAACGGGGAACAAATGGATGGACAGTAAAGATGATGTCGGCAGAAAATGCAAGAACCTCCTTCTGCTTCTGCTTCTTTCAAAGGCTTGAAAGTGATAGTGTGCATAGTAATTCCTCTCCATTGTGGCGTGTGTAACGTTTATATCCATGCTGTGCTGGCTAAAGAAATGCTGGCTGTGGTCAGCAGAGAGGCCTGTACCCAGGCCTTTATCCCAGCAGCCTCCTGGAGTTCAAACAGTATGGAATCCATGTGTGGGGAGCAAAACACCAACTCTTATGTTAATGAAGATTACAGTGAAGAATGGAGGGATGGAAGCCCAGCTGCTCACCCACTGACAGCGACCGGTGGATTTTCCCTTACAGCAGCCAAGTACCCAACTATGGTTAAGTTTTATCAAACTTTCTTTACCATCCATTTCAGAGGTTTCATAGCTGGGCTGGAAAATTTACACAGAGATAAACCCTTCAGTCATGCCTCAAGCAAATGTAGAAATGGCTGTTATCTTTTTGTGAAAGCTCCAGAGATGGAACTACTAAAGCAGTGCAAATACACATATGAAAATCTACCTATTTAGAGATGGCACACATACAGAATTGCACAGAATTCAGAGTTAATTTATCCCAGCTGATAACTTAGATTGTGTAAATGAGTACATCTTTTATCTTCAAGCACTTTTAAGCCACATTATATCAATTTGAAGTGAAATAATTATTTTCTGTTAAATTCTGTGAGATGACTCAAGAAGTCTGTAGAAAGGTGATCAGTTCCCATTCACTTCCAGAAGACTCTTCCCCAAAGGATTTGAATTGATAATCAGCAACAATGGCTGTTCTTCTATCCCTTCGTCCATCAGTCTCCTCCACAAACTTCCAGTTGTAAGATTTTAAACACTGCTACAAGTGAAGAAATAAAAGACATTACTGAAGTACCACTTTTTAGACCATTCATTAGTCCTCAGTATATTTTTGGTCTAGGGGAAAAAACCCCTACATTAATCTTTTTTTCCCCTGACCTTTTGTTTTCAAAATGCTTAAAAAATATCCGTTCCAAGATCCATCTCAAGAATCTCTTGAAACCTTTGAAAATCCTCTTCCTTATCTAGATTTGGTCACTAGCAGGAAGATGGAGTGTTTTTAACCTGTGTATCCTCACTGGCTCTGCCCTGGCCTGACAGTGATCTCCTGAGGATGCCATGGTGGCCCTGCACAGAGCAGGCTTGCAGCCTTCTTGTTACCTGTGAACCCACAGATCTGAAAACTGGTTTCACCATGGAGAAACCAAAGGTTTCAGATGGGCTGGGATATCTCTTTCCTCACTCCAGTTTGCCCTTCCAAGGAAAAATGGTAGCCCATGGAGAAACTGGCAGCACTGCCAACATGCTACCTAATGTGAGACTTAAACCTGTCCTAAACAGAGGAAATTAATACCAAGCACTTCATTTGAATGGCATCTCGTTTGGGAGAAAGCCAGGAAATAAAAAGGTTGGTTTGCTCTGCTCATCACTCATATGACTGTGCCTTTTGTTTTTCAGCCTGATGAGAGGCAAGGCTAGAAAATCAGCCCTAGCTCTGAATTTCCTGGCTTTTGTCAGTTGATGTTACACCCATGATATTATTCAAACAGGGGGTTTTGTGTGTAACAGATAAATGTCGACAAAGCCCTGTCTAATGCCTTTTAGGTTGCTAGGAAACCTGGCTCTGTAGCCACCACAGAAATATCTCTGGCTAGGGGATTAGATAAGCTCTGACTTGTTTTGATTAGGTGAGCTTTATTGCAGAAAAGACAGCAGCATGCTTGACATTGTAAAAATATGACCCACTTACAAACCCGGGGCACAAGGATCACTTATTGCTCATGATGGCCTCCATGAGAGGACACTTTGGACACTTTTCTAACCTGCCAAATCACTTCTCTCCAGAAAAAGCCACACCTCCTAATTAAGGTCTCCTTTGGTCCCCAAGAACTTGGGGCTGCTGCTAACACCCCTATGTTAGACCATACTGAAGTGAAAAGTCATTTTCAGCCTAGCTTAATTTCATGTGTCAGGAGAATGGGAGTATTTGTGGTCCGGTGGGCAGCACAGATAGCCAAGAACTAGATTACCTGCCCTCTGCTCTCAGCTCTGCAATTTAATGATTGTGCTTTGAAAACCAATTTGAACGTGGCAGATATTTATGCAACCCCATTAATGGAGGAGCTAGAGGGAGTGAGACTCCCTGCTGCTGCTCATGGTGCCCTGAGATCTGCTCAGGGGAGCTGGGTCTCTTCCCCTTTCTGACCCTGCCTGTCTCAGCCTGCTTGTGCTGGTCTATGCCCTGCTTTTGCCAATGGCATGCCCAACAGGCATTTGGGGAAATGGTGGAAGCTCCATGCCCTCCTCATAAGTGGTTTCCACCACTTACCTCTTTACTGACAAGAAGTTTTTGCCTTTTTCTACCTTACTGCAATTCAAGAACCTTGGTTCTTGTCTTGCTCACAGTATATGTAACAGGTTATCCCCTCCTCTATGCAGTGCACTTTATATGTCTGAACACAGTTCTCCTTTCTTGCACGGTCAACTTTTCTCTGAACAAAACAACCTAAATGTTCTCCATCTATTCTCACAAAGTATATTTTCCCTAAGCCCTTTAACTCCATGGTGTATTATCTGTGAAAGCAGGGCAGATATTCTGCAAGCTATAAATGAAACCAACAATATTGAGGTGAAAGCACCAGTTTGACCACAGGCTCAGTCATGCTGTACCTGTGAGCTATGCAGTTCCTGTCCAGGTTGCTGGTAACAGCTTGGGATCATATTATCTGCTCTTTATTAAGGAAAGCATTGAGACAGGCATCTAGAACAGTCAAAATTACATGAGAAAGGTTCATGCTGTGGCATAAGCAGAACTCAGGACCCTGAGTTTGGTCTAAGATCATGTTTGCATATTCACATTTAATAAAGTACGCAGCTCAGTGTGATACTCTTGTATGACAGACATACATTGTATCAGTCAGAAGAGAGAACTAGCTGCATTACTAATGAAGTTTTAAAAGGCTCTCCCTCAATTCACACCAATTACATGAAAAGTTTCATTCACAGAGAATGTGTAATCTGTCCATATTCATAGCATTTTAAAAGAAATTTCTGCTCATCAATCTACCTCAGGTAAAGCTATTAGAGGAGCTAAAATATCATCGAAAGGGTGAAAACAATCAAGCTCTTTCCAGCTAACTGGGAAAGCAAGTCTCAGAATAATGAATTCTGTGCTGAGAACACTGCAGTTGAAATGTTTCAGTTGGGAGAGCTCAGTACAAACAGGTACTTTCCAAACCATTCAGTATATAGGTTAATATTAACATTAGGCATTGCACATTTAGCTCAACAGTCTAAGAGCAATGATCTGGTATGCTCCCCTGCACTCATGGCTGAGCCTGGGTTTGTGCACTGTGTTCAAACACACCAGTACGTCCTGTGACCCTGCTATGAAGGAGACAAAAGCCCTGTTTACACTGTCTTTGCAGCTCACACCTGGAGCAAGCCCTGGCTCCCTGGCAGGCTGCACAGCATGGCCTGTGTCCCTCAGGAGCACACAAACCGTGACCATGCTGCTGGCTCTGGGAACAAACCTGGCATCTTATCAGCCTCCACTGCAGCCTGCAGCTGGAGGTGAGCATCTCCTCACTCTCCCAACACCGATGTCAGATTGCCCTTGCCCCAGGCATGGCAGATAACCATCAGCATCCTCCTCATGAGGTGACCAAGACAAATAAAGGAGTGCAGAGGCTGCTACAAAAGCACACTGCTTGCTTCTGCTCTGCCCATGTCTGCTGCCATTGCCTCCTCGGCACACCATGTCAGTCCTACCACAGAAAACCTCATGCACTGGGGTTGCTGACAGAGCCAGCTCAAACTAGGGCTATGGATGGCTACACACAGATGCCTGCTAGAGCCAGTCTTGGCCAGATGGTGTTTGTTGCCCGAATTATATTCCTGACTCTTAACTGTCAGCCAAGCTGTGACATAGCAAGTTGTTATATGGAAGTGCTTGCAGGGTCTGGATGTCATTGTTGGCAAACAGGGGCAGGAGGCTGCTGCTGGAAAAGGCTGCTTGTGTGTGTGTGTGTGTGGACATGTTAGCAGTACCCAGGGCACAGGGTGAGGTGAGTCTCTTGTCCTGACCCCTGAGCTGCCCACCTCTGCTGGAGAATGGCTGAATCACACAGTGTGTCTTTCCTAAGCACAGCTGTACCTAAACACATCCTATTGCTCTTATCTCTTCAGTGAGTGTAACTCAGCCAAGACACCCACCAGAGCCACAGGCAATGCCTGAAACATGGCTTCATGCCTGGGAACCCTCCACTTGTCCTGAGCATGGCAGTGAAGATGGAAGGGGTGAATGAATGGCCTCAGAGAGTCTCATGTGTTGCAAGGCTTGTTGAGGTCCCAGACCTCTCAGACCCAGCAAGATACTCAAGTCCTAGGTGACAGTGCAACCTGGAGCTTACTGTTATGGCACATGGGTCCCAAGCTGGTGTATTTCATGATAGATGGAAGCACGTCAGCCAAGCTGCTCCAGCATAATCACTGGCATCACAGCTCTCTACATGCACAGCCTTTGTTTGGATGAAAATGAAGTTAAAGTACTTACTGCTGCAGGCCAAACCCACAGCATGAACTAGCCTCAGGTATGTGACGTGTGGAGATCCTGGAAGTGCTGAATGTGGCAGCTCTGAAATACTTTTTGCACCCAAAAAGCTTTTAGATTTTTTATTCACAAGTTTCAGTAAAAATCCCAAGCAGTCAAATAATAAGAGGATTGATACAGAGCTCCCCAGGTCTTCGGGCCAACTGGGAGTCTGGTAAGCACAGCTGAGTGAGATTTGTGTGCATAAGTCTAGGGGCACTGGAGAACATTCTTGGGAGGAGGAAGTGAATGTGTCCTGGTCTGTATAGGTAGTGTCTGGGGTGCACAAATCCCTGAGAGCAACCCTCTCAAATGCACTTAACTTTCTGAACAGAGGTAGCTATTTGGCTTGCTTCAGCAGGGCTGGTATGGCTGCACCTAGATGACTGGGAGAGCAGGGCCCAGTGCCATCTGACATCTGATGCACTCAGAGCCACGGATTGTGCTCACAACGTCTGAGAGGAACAAGTACAAATTTTGCAGCTGTGCTGTGCACATTAGCAGTTTTGGCAACTGCATGCATGCTCTTACAACTCTACAGATGACAGCAAAGCCTGAATCTTGGTGATACAACGGGCTCTGGTGTGTTTGAAAGGACCCACATGACCAACTGACTATACTCTTTGACACATATCATCCTCCAAGAAAATGCAAACTCCTCGGATTCACAGACACACAGAAAATCAGTGTTGCCTGTGTACTGCCTTTGTGTTGCTGTCACAGCCTCTCTTGAGACTCTCCCAACAAGCACTTGCTCCCCCATTTTCCCTCCCACTTCCTGCTCCAGGGATGAAGTTGAGAACTATGAAAAAAATCATGGGTTGAAATAAGAACAATTTACTGGAAACAGCAATGAGATGAGGAAATGAACAGTAACAGCAACAATATTAATAACAAAAGCGTCCTAAAAAGGAGAGTGATTTACATGCAAGATGCTCACTGAGCCCAAGCTGACATGACCACAGCCAATGGCACCCCACCCCAACTTCTCCGTTGGCCACAGTTGCTCCCAACTGGAAACCACACCCCTTCCTCTCAGAAGTCCCTTCTCAGGCAGTCCCTTTCCCCAGCCCATGACATAAGATGGTATCACATAAGATGGTATCACATAAGATGGTATCACATAAGATGGTATCACATAAGATGGTATCACATAAGATGGTATCACATAATACAGTGCCTTGGCCATATCCTCCCACCGATTTGGGGCAGAACCAGGGCAGCTTCCCAGACTCTTTTTGAATCACCTCACCTAAAGAGCTCAGGCAGCAGAGATTGGCTGTCAGGAAGGTCACAGCATTAGGAGGGCCTGTCCCATGCCCACTGTTCAGCTCTCCCTTCCCTGAACTGAGTACATAAACATGACTCACTAACAGAACACATACCTTCCATACAGTTTTCACAGCTCCTAGAGATGCCACCTGACACAGAGTGGCAGGCTGAAGTTCAGCTGGAGTCAGTGAAAAGTTTGCCCAATTTAGAAATGGAGTTCTCCTCAGGGACACCAGCCAGACCCATTGGCATTTGTGAGAGCATATCTAATTTGCACGCTTTTAGTGTGTCTGCTATTACTTTTGCCATGAGGCTGAAGTTTTTAATGAGATTAATGATCCATGGGTCACTGTGACCAGTGATTGATGAGGTTCTCAGCAAAATCAATTTACTGTTTCTTTCCACCAAGGGTTGCTGCCACCCTTCTGCATCCCAAAACGGGTCACAATTAAGACAATGTAGTTTGATCTGGTTTTCCCTGACCAGACACTTCAATTCAGTGCCTGCAGTTTGTTGACTACAGTTTTCCAATAAGCTCAAGGGAGCCTAATGGTAGCAGTGCATTAACCCACCAAGGCCAATTTGCAGTATTGGGTATCAGGATATGCAAATGAATTAAATTAGATCTTGTTTTCAAAGGGTATCATAAGGTGTCCCTTGAGCTTTATGTGCTTTTGGACATAATTTGATACATTAACATTTAATTTCTGCCAGGTGGGGTTCACCTTCCTCTGAGGTAAAGAGCTCACAGAGTAACTCAGATCTTGTACCTCCCTCCTTCCTCTGCTAATAAGAAGTACAAGATCCAATTTCTCTCTCCCTTCCCCCACTGCTTTCCTCCCACAATGTTTTAAAAATCTGACAATAATGCAAAAAATAGTTCTGTATGGCTCTGTTGTCACTCAGGGACTCCCAGATTATATTTGATGTGCTGGTGCAGTTGGGAGCTGAGCAGCAATGCTGGTGTTACTGCTCTCCTTGAGCCTGTACTGCCCTGGGACAGCTGCTTTGCCTCCATCCAAATGTAAGGACAGCTAAGAGGAGATTTTTGTCCAGTCATGGACTTCTGCAGGTCACCTGCTGGAATGGGGTTTGGGGATCCTACCCAGCCCAGCGTGTAGGCCCTCAGGACAGTTCACAGCCTTGCAGCTTACCACTCAATTTAATTAATGAAGTTCCAAGTGACAGGGGACACAACTGCCAGTATTTAAGATCAAAGGTTTTAAAGGTCAGTAGGCACCACTAGCCTTCATTATACCAGAAGCCAAAAAATTTAATCCAGTAAATCCTGCCTCAAATTCCTATCTTGTTGTCAAGCTGGAGCATATAATTTCAGGAGCTGCTCCAAACTCAGTCTACAGGTTTTATTTTAAAGAGGTATCCCACTGAACTCTCTGTGCCCCTGTAACCCTCCTTTTGTGCAGCACCATGTGAGACACACATCTCCATTCTCACAGTCGAGTTTTGCTTAAAACATGGCTGGTTTTGGTTAGAGCAGCATTATTTGCTGGGGGTTGCCAATGTCTTCTGCCTTGCTTAAGTCATGGTTTTATGATGCAAATTAGACAGATAATACTGTCTGTAAACCATACTGCATGATCAGATGGCAGACTAAGCTTAGTGAGATAGAGATTTCCTTTTTAATTAAAACTGCAACGCTTCTGTGTGGTGGATTAACACTGCAAGGGTCACTGCAAGAAGTGAATTAAAGAAGGATCTGAGCAATGAGGAAAAATTGCTCCAAAATGGCCACTAACAGCATAAAAACTATGTCACTTACCAATGTCTTCCTTGCAGGAATATTATGTTATGTAAACCCTTACCATTCCTTAAAGGTAGTCAAGTGTCACCCATGTTTTAGTCATGTGAAAATTCTGATGTGGAAGGTTAAAATAATAATAAAATCATATCTGGCTTCTTTTGTCATAGCCTTCATCTTGACAATGAGACTTTGCTTTTGGAAGCACCTGGAAGCCAGGACTCCCACCAGTCAAGAGATTTTTTTCAACAGCTCCAGAAATCCAGCCCCAGTAGATTATTTTAGGTAAATCATGTTTTTCCTTCAGAGCGTGTGCACTCAGCAGTTAAGCTGCCATACGAGCACCGAGCTTTAATTCCCACAATATCCAGTCCTTCTGGCCAGCTTGTCCCAGAAGACTGGCAGTAAGCAGTCCTGCAACAGATGTCACACTTACACAGATATATCCTGGTTTTTCAGCGTAAAGAAAATTTCCTTTTCCCTAAACTCTATGAAGCCACAAGTTCTTGATTCAGACTGATGCAAACCCACCTTCATAAAGGCCTGAAGATTAATTTTGCCTTATTGGACTATCTTTGCTGTTCAGATGGCATCTTCTAGCAAAGCCAAGTGTAATAGAGGGTTAACTCCACATCTAAAACTTGCATTTGAATTCTTTTGCTAAATGCTCTGCAATTAGACATAAGCTGAGTAAGGCAGAGACTGCAGTACTGTATCACCAGGAAACTCATAAGGAGAAGAAATCTGAGCCATCCTTGTTTCACAAAAGAAAAAAAAAAAGAGCAGCTGAGATACATACCTGAAAAATACAAGGGGAACTAAGAAATCCTGAATCAGCTGTTCACAAAGAACAAAATTATTATAATCAAATTTCCACATGCATATTTACAGATTAGAAATGCAATGCCTAACAATTCTTAAACAAATACCAGCTTTCTTCCAGTAAAAAATGTCTGTTAAAAACAACAAATCCAATGTGGTTACAGATAATACAAAACAGAGCAGCTATTTGATATTAAACCTCAAGAAATAATACAATATTTCTGAGCTCTCATAGAAGAAATAAAGAAAAGGAAAAAAGCCTAATCAGGGTGTGGGGAGAAGGGGGGGGTAGGAGGGGACAAAGGAAATTAACTGAATCACCTACAATTTCCTTCAAAATTGTACTCCAAAAGGGGCTTAATCCTGCTCAATCTTCTTTATGAGACAACCTATAGGAAAACCAAAAAGCCTGTAATACTCAGGCTGCCAGGTCCTTGAAAAGCAGCAGAATATAATTTGAATACTTCAACAGCACAATGGCATCCTCAACCTTAGAGAGGGCCTCTAGGCAGAGGCAAGGTAATTTTATAACAATAATAAATAAAATTATGCTTACCCCTTTAAGTACCTCAAAGGAAATTAATTTTTAGGTTTTTAGAGTAACTGTGAACAGAAACCACATTAGGCAGTATAGACTACATTTGAGACTATTACAAGCAACGCTATCCAGACATTCAGGAATTGGATAGAGCACCCTAAAAAAGCATGTTTTGCTGCCAGCTCTCCTGGCTGCCCTGGTAGAGAAATCCAGGAGATTGCAGATGCAGACGAGCTGAGGGAGGACCCGTCTCCACCTGCGTTACCTACCCCCATGGCTCTGTGGCAGCAGACTGCAATGCAGCACTGAGCGCTCTGCACTGGGGAAGGGCTTGCTTCTCTCTCCGTGCCTGTGCCAGCCAACGTGTGCAGGCAGCAGGGAGCTTTAATAAAGCAAACTCTGCAGCAGACTGCAGAGCAGGCTGATTAACAGTTTTGGTGGTGCTGGGGAGCATGGCAGAGCACTCTGCCTCCCCTCCTCCACCCAGCCTCAAACCTGAGAGATCAAAGCTTTGACCAGCATCAGGTGGTTAAAACACAGTTCATTAGCTCGTGGTGCTTTCTGCCTGCTCACCATAGAAAGGCTGCAGGAGTTGCTCAGGATGATCACATATAAAATGTGTTTGCTGGAGTTCAAAACAGCTTGTCTCCTTCGTGCCAAGCCCGCCCTTTAAAATGATATTAATTAAGAAAGCAGCTTTAATGCAACAGGCAAACGGCATGTATTCAGTGATTAGAGCAGCAGGCAAGGACATAATTTACCAGAGATTCAGTGAGAAGGGGACAAATGCAAGATCTTGTCTTTCCTTACACAGCACCACACAGGGCTTTGACCTACCCCACTCCCTCTCCCTGCTTTCCAGGTCCCACAGGTGGCATCTGCTTCACAGTGATCTCTCTGAGGGACATCTGAGTTAGGGAGAGAAAAAAGGTTTTCTTTCTCCTTCTGTAACAAGTCAGCTGGGGAAGGATATGTGATTCTCCAGCCCAGTTTCCAGAGCAAGGGCAACAGGATGATGCAGTGACCGAAGGGTGCAGAGTCACAGTAACCCCATCTGCCCCATGGACCAGAGCAGGGAACTGCTTGGGCTCAGCCCCTGGAGGTGGGAGCAAGCTCTGACAGGGTGGAGATGCTGGCTGCAGGTGGGGCAGCCTGCAGCAGGACCAAGGACCTAGTGCAGGGAAACACTCAGCAGGCAGAGAGTGATCAACATGCAGATTCACTCAGCTGTAGGTTGTTTATGAGAATGAGGTGGAAACCAAATTAATAAATTGTCCCAACTGCTATCCCCACACTCCCACTCAGTGTATTTGCTCTTCTCCCTTCTGTCTTTGGTACTGCCCTCCCACATGAAAAAATAGTTATTTGTTTATATTCTTTGCAGCCCTTTATAATGCCTTATAAAACCACTACCTGGGTTTCTGGGCTAAAACCCCATTTTGCAGCTGTAGAAAATGCAGCTTGGAGAGGCAGAGTGACTCAGTTGGGATTTTATAGCCAGCCCACATCAGAACCAGCTTTCAGTACTCATCCTCTTTGGCTCCTAAAGGGAACCTTCTTCCACCAGCACCAGAACTTTCCACTGTAGCTAAAGTTACCATCACACTGCATTTGCTATCTTTAGTCCCTCGGTCGGGTATTTGTTTCTTTGTTCTTCAGAGTCCTGGATGTTGCGGGATGCAAAGCCGAGTGTGTACTATTGTTCACTTCAGCTTTGTGCTGATGAAAGAACAAGCACAAAGGAAGGAGAGAAGAGGAGAAAAGGGGGCACCTTCTTGTATAAAAGGCTCTGAAATCCCGTATGGAAAAACTCCATAGAAGTGAATAAATGTGATTCTAAAAGCCTATTGAATTTAAGAGAGAACGATCTCCTTCCCACATGGTTTTCAAACACCATATAGACTGGTGCAGTCTTTGAGCATCGAGGGAAAAGAGATCAGACTCCTTTCAATGCTATGGATTTATCTATATAAAACTATTGCTTTAATTTCCACAAGGTACCTTATGGAAAAGGCCTAGGGAAAAGGATAAAAAGAGAATTAGGAAAGCAATTTTGGTTGGTTTGTTTTGAATTTTGAAATGGTTGCAGAATAGCAAGCAATACTATTGCTTTCTTCTGATCCTCAGTGATGTTCTATTTGTTTACTTTCTTTATAGTTCAGGATTTTTGGAGGCAATTGCTACTATGGTGTTGGTCAGGGAATTTTTTAAATAGTATGAATGCTTTCTTAGATTTTTTTGAGATGAATGGCTTGTCTAAATCTTTACCTTCACTATGTGGAAGAGGCTGTTGTCAGGGGAAGGCAAAGTTGATCTTCATAATAATTTATCTGCTGGATGAAAAAGGAGCAACTGAAACAATGGTATGGATTATTTGGTCTAAAGACTCTTAGAGGAGGGAGAGGGCTGCAGAAGGCAGCATTACAAACAAAAGGCCTTTGCCATGTAGCTGTTGTGGAAGGCACAGTCTGTCAGTCTGTCAGAGAGAGCCACAGCTGTGCCAGATGTGTGGTGATACGAGCACAATGAAATTCAACATGGCATTCAGGTAGACTAATTTTTCCACTCAGAATTCAGGGAAACTATTCCCAAATCCTCCTGCACATATGTGCATGTGTGTAGGTATGTTACATAAAAGCAGTGTTTATGCTGGATGCCCAGAGGAAACATTAAATTACTGTGTGCACTGCTCATGATGGACTCTAAGAGAGCCCAAAGGCAACTTTTCTACCATAAATTTATGTCAGTTTTTATATGCTACAACATCTGGGTCCAAAATTGGAGCTAGCAATCTAATAAGACAGCTTGGTTATGAGCAGTCACTCCAATGTCTTGACCCTGATCATCTCCCTTTTTTAGATGATGAAAACTTGGCCTGCTCACTTACAGACTGCACATTTCAGCCAACCCTAAGTCGTGCCATCTTGCTGGCAGGGGCAAAGTCAGTCCTGAAAGTTCTGGGTGCAAAAAATTCCCTGCTGGTGCACACAAATGATCTGTCAGGTGGCCTGTGCTGTTTTCTCTCTGGTGATAGGTCCCTTTGCTCCTGGCATGGGTGTGGTGAAACACACAATCCCATTCCTCTGAGAAAGTTCCCATGTGTCACAGTGACAGACAGATACAGCAGAACTCCCAGGCTCTCTTTCCTGGTGGGATAGCTGGGCTAGGAAAGGCCATGCAAGAGGAAAGGGGAGGTTTTATGGCCCCTGTGTGTTTCCTTGTTCATTTGGACAAGGCTGGGAGCAGCCAGCCTTTCATCTCCCCAGGAATTTGCTTGTCCAGCCATAAAACATGGATAGCAATCACCTTCCAGAGGGACTGGGAAGCTTTGTTTGGCAATGCCTATAAAATGCTGTGACTGAAAGGCAACGTTTTAATAAATTATTGTTAGTCCTTGAAATGTGTGGAGGAAAAGGGCTACTGCAGGAAGCATAGTGGCATCTTAGTAGCTTACAGGACTGTCCTGGGCTGCTTTGCTCCCATGCACACCAGAAAGTCTTTGTTTTCCTGTATGCTGGGAAAGCTGTTCCCACACCTTGTGTCACCGCATGGCAGCCGGCACTCAGCAGGACACCCCTGAGTCAGATAACCTACTGAATCATTTGCACTTTCTCACCATTTGGATGGCATTTTTCCCCATGTTTGTGTGTTGTTTCCAGCTTATTCCAGGTCTCTGAGCTGATGGAGACCCAGGCTGCTGGAGCAGGCTGTCCTGCCCCGAGCTGTGGGGCCAGGCTGTCATGCAGGTGTGAGTGGCTCTATGGGTCCTGCCACCATGGGTCACAGACACAGCCAGAAAGGAGAGGAGTGATGGTAACAACACTGTGACACAAGTTAGAACACCTTTTGTTTTACATATGGGGTGCTTTCTACAGATCCCTCTGGGTTTTGGTCAGCTCCCAAGGGCAGCTCCTGCTTTCAGGCCGCCCCAGGTTTCCCCACGGCTCTCAGATCTCTTACAGGCACAGGGGCAAACACACCAGCGGGAGGCACTCCCATTCCCGGGCCATGGAGGCTGCACAGATCAACAGCATGTTCAATTGGGTGATTAGGGCTCTGTCTCAAGCATCATCATCCACACTCTGAGTGCCAATATCCTTGGACTTCAATGAGCCAGACTGGTTTTTAATTAATGATGGATTTCTAAGGTTATTAATTAACCCTGTTAATTTTGCTGTTTCATTTCTTAGACAGAAAATCTGAATCAAAGTCTCTGGACCTTATCCTGTTTGCAGCAACAAGCAGCTGTGCCCTTGTGGGGTGGAGTCATGGGTTTATGCTCTGGCTCTTATCAAGGCAAGCACACTGGTATCCATTGCTTTGGTATTCACCTCTTTTCTTACTTTGACAGGTTTTATGAAAGGCACTGATGAAGCGTTTGCCAGCTCGTTTCATGCACTCTGACAGAGTCACTGTGTGTCACAGTGTGAGCTTGTCTTCCCACCTCTTTGCCCCTCTGATGTTTCACTATCTGCTTGCAAAGGCAAGGGTTTTATTCTGAGCATATTCTGTTCATATAACTGTCTCACTCTCAGTAAACTCCAAAGGATGTCTGTGTATCTCATCATACAACCTGACACTTTATCCTTCCCAGATACTGCTCTGTTTCATTAATATGTTTCTCACTACTGCCAGAGCCCAATAGAATTGTAGGAACTGTGGCCAGAAAGTGCAAAAGGCAGTAATGAGATTTATTTTATGTGCAACTTTATGGTATTGAAGAGCTTTATGTATCATCTCTCTGTGTCGCTTCCTCTCAGGCTGCTGCTGGTTGAACATGTCCTGTCTGACTCCTGCATCAGCCACACTGTGTCTTGATTTCCACTTAAATCAGTCTAGTACCACTTTAACCCTGGCAGCCTTTGAAATCAGGAGGCCACTGGAACAATAGGCAGAATTTATACTGCAGTTTTCTTCTTCACAGCAATTTTCAAACACAAATGAATCAATCGTTAATGGTCCCTTATATGGGACATGACAAAAGACTGCAAGCCAGATTTTACAGACTGGGCTCAGAAAACCTGAGGGATTTGCTCAGAGAAAGCCACAGAAAAAATATGGCCCAAACTGCAAAAGAACAAATGAGTTTGTACTGCCAATTTTTTACATGCACATCATGTTCCCAGACCTTTCAACTACAAGGCACTTTGTTTTCTGGGTCCTGTATTGCATTATTAACAGCAGAACCAGGATATTTGCTGCCACCTCACTGTGTCAGTGATATTCACTGATGTAACATAGTCTTTCCATGGAAAGAGAAATTAATTATTGCAAGTTATAGGGCATATGATGACCCAATGCCTGGCAATGTGGAGTGCCTTGGTGGAGTGCAGGATGTACTCGAGGCAGTACACTGGGAAA